GAGTATGGGGGCGGTGGGGGGGGGCTTGCAGCAGTGTTGAGGGGACTGGGGCGGGGGGGGGGGGCGGGACGGTCAGTCCTGGCAATACTCAGCCCTGCTGTGTCGCCCAGATGGTTCAAAGCTTAGGCAGGTGGTGTGGGTTTTTTCAGTCTAGGGGTGCTGCGGCCACGGTGGTCATGGGGCACAGAATAAATTGAGGACCACAGATCAGAAAAAGCCCTCCCCGACCCGTCAAACACCCCCAAAGAACCAGCCTGTGTTCAGGCTCACTGTTTTCCAGTGTAATAACAGAGAGCCCAAAGGCATGTCCTTGAGGTTGCGTCACCTTGTCCCTGTGAACCCGGTGGCTGGGCCCAAGATTCCTATTTCCCAGATGGAAACTTTGAGGCCAGTGCAAGTGACTTCGCTGAGGAGAGAGATCGACACAGCGACGGGGGAGCGTAGGACAGGCCAGATAAGTGAGGACTCCTCCACCCCTGAACTGCCCTGGTCAGAGATGACTCAGGGACGCCACGTCCCTTGCTCCTAACCCCCCTGCCCGCTGCCTCCACCAGCTCAGAACAGTTTCTCTGACTGTCACGAAGCTCCCGAAGGCTGGCAGAAGGCTCTGAACTAGGGCCAGCAGCTCCAGGGTTGGGGTTCCCAGCCCCAAGGCCACGACTGTCCCGATGGCCAGCAAACCCTTCTCTCAGGGTCCAGAAGAGCGGTTGCCCCCTACTTACCTGGGTGTCAGTTGCCACTGCCTGGGAGTGGGACACGGGGCACAACAGGGTCCTCTCCCTCTCCCTGTGACCGGGAGGCGCCCGTGTGCTCTGCCTCCGTCTGGACGGTTCCTTGCTGTCAGCGCTGCCCTCCTCTCCACTCCAGGGCCTGCCCCCAGGAGGCGGAGCTGGGGGGTGGGAGCCACCCGAGGGCTGGGTGCTGATACCAGCGGAGGTGGGGTTGTGGGGCCATGCACCTCTGGGTTACCCTGGCTGCCCGGCAGGCGCTCTGCTGCTTCCCCAGATCCCGGAACCCCCTTTTCAGACCCCCTCCCCAGGTCACCTCTGGTCCTTTGCAGGAAAAAACTTCTCTGGCATTGGGGCATCTGACCTTCGCTCCCACCCCATCCCAGTCACTGATTTTCTGTGGCTCGCCCCCACCTGTGCTGCATCGGGTTTCTCCTCCATAACGCTGCTGAGCCTTGAGCCCTGCTGACCTGCAGGGCAGGTGGGGTGGGGTGGAGGGCACAGTCCCTGTGCTGGCCCCTTCGTCCTACCCTCCCCCGTGCACACAGCACCCTTGCCCCAGTCTGCTTCCCGGGCGGCCCCCTAAGGTTCGCCACTTCCAAACTGTGTGGTTTTTTAGAATCACCGGGTAAATGTGGTGGAACTGGCTGATTGGAGACACCCAGAAGGGATTCTGGGCGGGGACCCATGCGGCTTGCATTGAAGACAGCAGCGTCTGGCTGAGACCTGGCATTGTTCCACAGCGATCCTGGCAGCAGCCCGGCTCCGCCTGCAGGCCAGCTCGATTCCTGGGCAGCGGGGAGCGCCCCGTAGGATCCGTGGTGTCTGTAACTGGACTGTCCACGGGGACTGGCGGCCTCCAGAAGAAACCCAGAGCTCCAGCAGGGACCAATGGCTCACGCGCGCCACCTGCTGGGCATTAGCGCAGCTGTCTGAAGGGCCCCTCCGCCAGCAGCGGGGCGGCAGGTGCTGTCCCTAGGAGGGCGCCACTGAGTCCAGAGAAGCAGGGCCCAGAGCTGTGAGTGACCAGTGTGACCCGGCTGGGAGAGTAGGGCGCTGCAGCTCAGGGTTACTCGTCTCCCACAGAGACCAAACGTGAAGGGGGGGAGGGGGCAGAGAGGGGTGTGAATTCCCAGGGTCCTCGACTCACCACCACGACAGGGAGACCTGGGACAGGCTGACTTCAGTCACGCGACCGTCCCTCACTCCCTTGCAGTCGGGAAATGAGAGGCAGGACCTCCTAGAGAGCCAGCCCAGGAGCTGGGAAAGATGAACAGGGGCCTGAACAATAGGACTGTGGGCAGGGCGCTTGCATTGTCCTGGCCCAGCTGGCTTCGATCCCCAGTCCCACGCAGGGTCCCCTGACCACCCCCCGGGACGCCCCAACCCAGCTGCAGGACCTATATATAGAAAACCCTCCCGGAGACCCTCCCAGCAGCAGGACCCGTGGAAGACCCCCCCCCCCCGGTGAGGAGCTCCACCCCAACAGTACGAGCTCTGGAAGAACCCCGGGGCCCCCACCCCAGCAGCAGGAGTTCTGGAAGACCCCCCCGCAACCCCCACCCCAACAGCAGGAGCTCTGGAACACCCCTTGGGGACTCCTATCCCAGCAGCAGGAGTTCTGGAAGACCCCCGAGACTCTCCACCCCAGCAGCAGAAGCTGTGGCAAGCCCCCCCCGGGACCCCCCACCCCAACAGCAGGAATTCTTGAAGACCCCCAGGACCCCCACCCCAGCAGCAGGAGTTCTGGAAGACCCCTTGGAACTCTCCACCCCAGCAGCAGGAGTTGTAGCAGGAGTTGAAGACCCCTGCGACCCCCACCCCAACAGCAAGAACTCTGGAACACCCCCTGGGAACCCCCATTCCAGCAGCAGGAGTTCTGGAAGACCCCTGGGACCCCCCACCCCACCCCAGCAGCAGGAGCTGTGGCAGACCCTACCTCTCCACCCTGGGAACCTCCACCCCAGCGCCTGGGCCTGGGGCTGCAGGAAGAAAATACAGGGTCAGTGATCTCAGTTCTTGGACGCAGAGTCCGGCCTGAGCTGTTAGGCCCTCATCCGTCTCAAAGCACAGTCAGCTGGCCTGGGAACACTCTTTCCATTTTTCCTCCCCCCCAGGAGGACGACACAGACACGAGGGTGTTTCTGGGATTGAGGAAACATTTATTGAGAGAACAAAACAGGCCTCTATCTGCCCCCCAGCAGGGCAATGTGGGCCAGAGGCCCTGGGGTCGACAGTACACTGAAACAGAGCAATTGCCCCCATCCCCCACGGTCCAGCCCAGTCTGGAAGACACCAACCAGGGGTGGGCCCTCTGAGGACCACAGCCATGAAAGCCTCCCAGAGGGTGGACGCAGGGCCAGGTGGCCAGACTGGGTCAGTTAGTGCCTGGCCCCAGACAGAGCCTACACAGGCCCGCTGTGGGGCCTGGTGTGCCCAGCAGTGCAGGTCGATAGAAGTGCAGACTGGCCAAGTCCAGACCCAGGGCCAGGCCCGAGGTGCAATGCAGTGCCGGGGACCTTCCTTCCCCACCAGACTCAGGAGCCTTCATGGCGATCGAGGCAAAGAAGGGTCAACTCATGAATGTCTGGAGTGACTCTCCAGAGCCGCAGAGACCGGACGGCCTGGCCTGTGGGAGTACTGGACACAGAGAGAGTGACCCGCTTATCGAAGGCGGCCCGAGGCACAGGAGGTTGGAGGAACTTGCTTCTGATCATGCAGACTCCTAGCCCAGGCGTGAGTTCTTGGGGAGAGAGCCGAGCTCTTGAAGGAGTCCTCATGTCCTCCTTAAATATTGGGATGCCGTGCACCGGGGGTCAGCACACAGCAGCTGAAATGGCCACATTAGGGAAAAGCCAACTCCAGCCATCTGATGCTTCGGGAAGAACCTCGAACCAGATCGTGCCGGACGGAGGCCAGAAGTCCAGGTCTCCAAAATGAATCCCCTTCCTTGAACGGCTGGCTTTTCCCTCGCATCAGCTGGTTTGGGCCCAGGGACACAGAAGGGACCCCAGGTAGGCCTGATGGAATGCAACAGAACAGCCCTGCTGGTCCCCACTGCACCTGTCTGCATCTGTCTCGATGCTCGCTTGAACGGGGGGGCCTCACCCCCATCCCATGCCTCCCAAATGCAAGGAAAAAAACCCAGCAGCCCCCCTCACTGGCGTTTTGTTTTAAAGGTGGTGGTTCAGGGGTTCTGTCTTCCTTGAGAATCCTTGTTAAACTGGAGGGTTTTGCAACACAAAGAATTTGAGAGCTAAGGACTCAGAGACACACTTTGGTCCAGACACAAGAAGAAGGCTATGGATTCCTGGGCTTCGTTTCCAGGGTGGGGGGTGGGGGTGCTGTTGGTGGCAGAAGTCCCTCTGGCTCCCGAACTCCTGCCATGCCCACAGGGTGACCTGATCCCAGCGGATCTGAAAGCAGATCCCAGAGACTCTTCTCCCAGGAAAAGTTTGGTCTTGCGTCAGAAGGAGGCATCTGCCCCCTGCCCGCAAGTCTCTGTGTCCTCTCCATCCTCATGGTCCTTGGTCCCTGAACCTGGACATATAGAGAAGGTTGTCTTTCTGCCTGCCACTCCCTCAGTCAGAGGTGGGAAATGCCTCAGAGCCTGGGCAGCCCAGAGCTGGGGTCGGCCCAGCTCCTCCTGGCTCTGTGGAATCAGTAAATGCCTGGGACCGGAAGCCACACAAACATCTCCCACCCCCCCCCCCAAACACCAGGCTGAGCGGGGATCCAGATAGAGTCAAGAGGCCGGAGCAAGGGCTCAAAGGGCCCAGCCTCTCTCCCGGCACCACGGGCCTCCAGCACTGTGGGAAAGGATCCCCAAGCACGGAGTCAGGAGAAACCCTGAGCTACTCCCACCTGCCACCCAGTGAGGCCCCCCAAAACAACAGAGTCCTGCCGAGAAGTCAAACACGGTGCACCCTGGGAGGAAGAACCAGGGTGATGGCGAGCGGCCCTGAAGAAAAGGCGCAAAGGAGGCCGCCTTGAATGTAAACAAGCACATGTCCTTGGAACGCCATCGGCCGGCAGTAAGGCCCTGGGAAAAGGCTTCAGCCCAGCAGGACCCTCAGCCGTGGTGACAGACAGGTGCGGTGGGGTGAGCTTTTTTGCATCTCAGGTCAGAAGGTTCGCCACGAGCAGGGAATGCTTCAGGGTCCTCAGACACGGAAGGGCAGAGAAGTCAGAGCCCCCCGCCCCTGGCACACATAGGAAGTCTCACAGCTGCTCAGCAGAGTTTGGGGAGTGGACACCAGCATGCCTGGTCTGGCGGTCCCCGGGCTGTGCGGTCAGACGGCCGTGAGGGAGGCGCTGCTGAGCACGTGCACGGCCACCGTGCCGGGCAGGTCACTGGGCTGGCGGCTACGGTCCTGCAGGTGGAGGGTATGCAGGGCCTGGAGCTCGTCCGGGTCGGCCTTCAGGTGCACCTGGCCCAGGAACTCGTCCTTTAGGACACGGTGATTCCAGATCTGCAAGAAGACAGAAGAAGATGGTGGGAGCGCACATCTCTGGGGCCCAGCGTCCAGTCCCTATGGGTGGGCTGGGGCGACTGGCAGTTTGAGTCCCCTTGAGGGAAAGCCATCCTTGGGCCAGGCCACACCCCTCCAGGAGTCCCGGCTCCCTCCCAGAGGCCAAAGCTCCTTTCACCTTTTTTTTTGGGGGGGGGGAGGGTCACACCTGGCGATCCACAGGGGTTACTCCTGGCTCTGCACTCAGGAATTACTCCTGGCGGTGCTCAGGGGACCATATGGGATGCTGGGACTCGAACCCGGGTCGGCCGCGTGCATGGCAAATGCCCTACCTGCTGTGCTATCGCTCCAGTCCCTCCTTTCACCTTTTAAGTCTGTTGGAGTTTTTGTTCATTTGGGGGTCACACTAGCAAAGCTCTGGGGTTACTCCTGGCTCTGAGCTCCGGAATCACTCCTGGTGTTGCTCGGGGGACCCTTTGGGATGCCGGGGATTGAACCCGGGTTGGCCACGTGCAAGGCAAACGCCCTCCCAGCTGGACTATCTCTCAGGTCCCAAGTCAAGTTTGTTGAGACCAGGGGAGGGCACCAAACCAGGGCTGGCTCACATGCTTTGCACATGGAGGGCCCAGGTTCCATGCCCAAGCACCACCAGAGGTCAGTGACCCCCAAGCACTGAGGCAGGAGCAGCCCCCAAGCACCACCAGTGTGGCCGCAACACGGAACCACATCAGCTCTGCTGTGGGTCCTACTGCTGATTTCCATGACCTTGAACGAGAGAGACAGCTCCGGCCCCAGGTCTGAGGTTGGATTCCAGGCCCCTAAGGGTGCTTCCTGCCCAGTACATGCTTTCTCCAGGGACCGAGTGTGAGGAAGACCGGGAGAGTCTACAGAGGCTCCCGGGGGAAGCCAAGTGTTTGTTTACAGACGGTTTCTCACCCAGAGAGATGCAAGCTTGGCCTGGGGGACACAGGGTTTGCTACAAACGAGAACAGCACTGACGTCACCACCCCTGGCCTGAGAGTCAGCAGGCTGGGCCCGGCCACCCAGCCCCGCTCCTGGGACACCGTCACCCCTCGCCTGACAAGCGGGGGCGCTGATGGGCAAGGCAAGCACGCTGTTTTGAGGGCTCCCACACTCGCTCACAACTGCACATGCTGGGACAGCTGCAGGGCCCTGGGCCAGTCACCCGGGAAGCCTCAGGCCGAAGGTCTCACCTGGACAGTGATGGGCTGGCCCGGCTTCTTGCGATAGAAGATGCCCCTCACGTTGTACTCAGGGTTCGAGGTGCCTCTCTGCACGGCCGAGCGGACTTTGTCCCCCTCACACTTGATGATCACATAGGAGTTGGCCCCTAGGGAGGGATGGGGGCGGAGGGGAAAGCTTTAGGAGGCCCAAAGACGAGAACCCCTGCCCAAGCCCCAGGCAGCAACCTGTGTGTGGAGGGAAGTCGGGGGGACCTGCTTCTCAACTGCTGGAGACAGGAGTTGGCACAGGGCACCCCTCAGCCGAGCACTTCCCAGGACTGTCCCGCCTCAGCCCACATCCCCTGCCCAGACACAGCAGCAGGCTTCAGCCTTCAACAGCACCAGCCAGGCGCTCACCTGTCGGGGAGTCCTTGAGCCCAGCGGCCCCCAAGACATGCACCTGGGTCACCTGCTGGGGGTAGCCGCACAGGGGGCTCCAGCAGGTCCGGGGGGGCTCGTCCAGGCAGAGCTCCCTGAAGACAGAAGGGGGGTTCAGTAGGACGAGAGGACAGACGCTTGCATTCAGCCACCCGCCCGGGCCTCCCCGCAGCAGCAGCATGCGTGGGGGAGAAGGACCCCCACCAGATCTGCAATCCCAGCAGGGGTGAGGCAGTTTCAGGAGGTCAGGCTGAGCAGTTTCGTCTCAGGACAGGGAACTGGGGGGACAAGAAGCCAATTTTGGAATCAGACCAGCTGAGTGACGTAGTCCAGTGTTGGGGGGGCATGGCACCTGCAGGCTGCGGGGGTGATGAGTGACAGCTTTTGGCGTGGCCTGCGCAGGGCTGGGGATGCTGAGTGACAGTATGTGGGTGTGGCCAACACAGGACTAGGGGATGAGTGACAGCCGGTGGGTGTGGCCAATACAAGAGTAAGGGATGAGTGCAGCTGGTGGGTGTGGCCAATACAGGACAAGGGGGTGAGTGACAGCTGGTGGGTGTGGCCAGTACAGGACTAGGGGATGAGTGACAGCTGGTGGGTGTGGCCAATACAGGACAAGGGGGTGAGTGACAGCTGGTGGGTGTGGCCAGTACAGGACTAGGGGATGAGTGACAGCTGGTGGGTGTGGCCAATACAGGACAAGGGGGTGAGTGACAGCTGGTGGGTGTGGCCAGTACAGGACTAGGGATGAGTGACAGCTGGTGGGTGTGGCCAATACAGGACTAGGGGATGAGTGACAGCTGGTGGGTGTGGCCAATACAGGACTAAGGGATGAATGCAGCTGGTGGGTGTGGCCAACAGAGGACTAGGGGATGAGTGACAGCCGGTGGGTGTGGCCAATACAGGAGTAAGGGATGAGTGCAGCTGGTGGGTGTGGCCAATACAGGACTAGGGGATGAGTGACAGCTGGTGGGTGTGACCAATACAGGACTAGGGGATGAGTGACAGCTGGTGGGTGTGGACAATACAGGACTAGGGGATGAGTGACAGCTGGTGGGTGTGGCCAATACAGGACTAGGGGAGGAGTGACAGCAGGTGGGTGTGGCCAATGCAGGACAGGGGGTGAGTGACAGCTGGTGGGTGTGGCCTGCGCAGGGCTGAAGTGCTGAGTGACAGCGGGTGGGTGTGGCCCGGGAACAGAAGGCGGGGCTCCAAGCCCGGGTGGACACGGGCATCTCTGGGCATCTCCTCTCACCGGCAGTTGGAGGGCACGTCCGTGAAGACTCGGAGCAGGAAGTCGCCAGCGTGGCCCGGCTCGAAGGTGGTGGGGATGATGACGTAGCGGCCCTCGGGCTGGTCCGTGCGCAGGAAGACGCTGCGGGAGTTGATGTAGATGGAGCTGGCCACGCGGGGCTGCAGGCTGTGCATGCGGTACTGGCGGTTCTCCTCCACCTGCGGAGGGGCCACGGGGGCACAGAGGCGGAGGGATGAGGGCCGAGCTGCCCGGGGTGGCGGCGAGCAGCGGGTAGGGGGATGGGTAAAGAGGACCTGCTTCCTTTCGGTGGGGAAAAGACCCCAAATGCGACCACAGTGATGCAGCTCTGTGCATATGTCCGGGGCGAGATATGTGAATGAAGCTGTGGAAAGTTAGGGCCGGAGCCGGAGCACAGCAGGTAAGGCGCTGGCTTCGCCTGCAGCGACCTGGGGCTGATCCCCAGGCCCATATGGTTCCCCAAGCAGTGCCAGGAGTGATCCCCGGGTGCAGAACCAGGAGAAAACCCTGAGCACTGCCGGGTATGGCCCTTCCAGAGAGAGAAACAGATGGATGAGAGGCGGGGAGAGACAGAGAGAGAAAGAAGAAAAGGAAGAAGAGAGAAGGAAAGAGGAAAAACGAATAAAGAAGAGAGAAAGAGAGAAAGAAACAAAGAAAATGAGAGGGGAGGGGAAAGGAAGAGGGAGAGAAAAAGAAAAGAAAGAAGAGTAAAAAAGGAAAAAAGAGGGAGGAAAAAGAAAGATGAGAGAAATAAAGGGAAAAGAGAGGGGGGTGGGGACGACGGAGATCACGGCAAGAAAGCGGGCTAAGAAAGCCCAACCCAGACAGGTACCAGGCACTGGGCGCAGAGCAGCCCCACAGGGGCTCCGGAGAGAGGGCAGTGGCCGGAATATTCTAGAACTGGCCTTCCCAATCTTTCCCCAACCGCCACCCCTTTCCACAGCGGGGGGAGCGCTGCAGGCACACCCGGGCTGACGAGCTGGCGGATTCTGGGTGCACTTGGATCACTGAATGTTCAGACACCTTCCTCCACTCCAGCTCACCCATGCCTGTGTCCCTGCTCCCACTCAGTGTGTGACCCTCGGTGGGGCCACCACCCACAGTCTAAGTTCGCTTCCCGGGCTTGGAGAGACAGGACAGCAGGGAAGATGCTCGCCATGCATGCAGCCATCGGCCGAGATCCTTGACCACAGTCCCTGAGCACTGACGGGGGTCCCCAAGACAGGGAACGAACAAGGAACGAGATTCTAGAGTGTTTTGCCCAGGCTTGAGGGTCCTAACCCCACTCATGGGCTCTCCCCCACCCGGACCCTCCCCATGCGAGGCCGACCTCACCTTGTAGATGTCAAAGCCGATGGCCAGGTTTTCGCCTTTGCCCCCACGGCGGGTGGACTGCCTGGGCCGCTGCTGGATACTTATCAGGACTTCATCTTCCGGCTTCTTGACATCGAAGACGTACTGCAAGGATGGTGGGGGAAAGATGAGATGAGGACTGTCCCAGAGGGGAGGGGCTCCGAGGCCTCCTCGGGAAGCCCAGGTCGCAGGTGCAGGTCACATGACCCCTCCGAGCCCGCCCCTCTTTCCCAGGCTGGGCTGGGAGGACTCAGAGTCCGAGGCTGGTATGCAGTCGGTGCTCAATAAAGGCGCACGAAGCACCAGGAATAAGCAGCTGCCAAAGTCCCGAGCATGGGGACAATGCAGGGGAGAGGCCCCTGTGGAGGGGTCAGGCTGACCAACTTCTGGAAGAAGCCGCTGCGTGCAGTGTGGAGCAGACGATGGGCACCGCCCAGCTTCTAAGGGACCCGAGACCTCCAGGTAGGACACCCAGGAGCCCTCAGACCCTCGCGGGAGGCTGGGGTCCCCCACGAGCCTGCAGATGGACCGGCAGGTCCCACCTGAGGCCCACCTGCATGGGCACAGGGACGCAGCGGGGCCCCAGACCTGCGGGTTCTGGAAGAAGGTGTCCTTGTGGTTGATGCAGCCGCCGCTACGATTGCGCTGCGGGTCCTCGTGCTGCGTCCAGGCGCCGTGCAGCCGGGCCTCCTCCCAGGTCTTGTGGATGCTCAAGTAGGACGTGTTCATCAGGCGGCACTTGATGATGTCGGTGAAGTAGAGGCACAAGTCCTCGAAGGTCATCCTGGCGGGCGAGCAGGCAAGGCGCTCAGCGGGGCCCACGCTCCCGCCAGGCTGCGTCCCTGACCACAGCCCGCTCGAGGCAGCCCACGGGGTGAGGAAGGCCCCTTCACAGCTCGTCGGCCTCAGTTTCCTGACCTGGAAAATGGGAACGAACCTGACCACGACAGCCCCCTTTCTCGCAGAACCAGCGGGGAAATAAGTAACGCTGCCGCCGGGTGAAGTACAACTTCAGCCTCGGCACACAGAGACATCAGCAAAGGCTGTTTCGTCTCCATTGATGGAGGGTGGGGGGAAGAAGCGAAGGCGGGGGGGGGGGGGGGGTCCAGGGTGTGGCCTGAGGAAACTACAGAGGGAGACTTGGTAGGTGTGCTGGTGTGCCAGGATTTGGTTTCTCGTTTTGGTTTGGGGGCCGCATGAAGCAGTACTCTGGGGCTATTCTTGGTTCTGTGCTCGAGTGACCCCTGAAAGCGCTCAGGGAATCATAGTGGGGTGCCAGAGAGTAGGGCCAGGGTGGGTGGGAAGCGTGCAAGCACCTTATCCCCCGGGGCTATCTCTCCACCCCTGGGTGGGGCTGCTGCTGAGAGCACTGAAGGCTGCACACACCATGTGCAGGGAAGCGCCCATTGCCCCGCATGCATGCTCATATATGGGAATGCGTGTGCACCAAGCATGAGCAGGTAACATACATGTGTGCATTAAGTGCACACACATATATGAGAATACAGATGTGTGCACCAAGTGTGCACATACAGGAAAGTGTGCATGTTTGCACCAGGTGGGCACAAGCCTGACAATGTGGATGTCTGTACCAAGTGTGCGCACGGTGAGAACATGCATGTGGGTACCAAGTACATGAGAAGGGTGCACGTATGCACATATCCAAGTATGTGTATACGCCAAACATAAACATGTAACATGCATGTGTGCACTAAGTGCACCAATATATGAGAAGATGCATGTGTTCACAAGGTGTGCACCCACAGGGGAATGTGCATGTGTGAACATATGATGACACGCGTGTGTGCACTTACGTAAAAGCATGTGTGCACGAACCCGATGGCACGTATGAGGCTGTACATGCACGAGTGCACACATACATAAAAACAGGCACAGGCATGTGCTAGGTGGGAACAACTAAAAAAGAGCTTGGGGGAGGGAGAGAGAGAGAAAGAAAGAGAGAAAGGGAGAAGCTATAGAGGCAGGCTGGGGAGAGGGGGTGGCAGAAGGGAAACTGAGGACATGGGTGGTGGGAAATATGCACTGGTGAAGAGGCAGGTGTTGGAACATGGAATGACTGAAACCCAATGGTGAACAACTTTGTAACTGTGTATCTCATGTGATGCTTCAATTTTTTTTTTTTTTTTTTTTTTTTTTGCTTTTTGGATCACACCTGGTGATGCACAGGGTTTACTCCTGGCCCTGCACTCAGGAGTTACTCCAGGCGGTGCTCAGGGGACCATATGGGATGCTGGGAATCGAACCCGGGTCGGCTGCGTGCAAGGTAAACGCCCTACCCGCTGTGCTATTGCTCTAGCCCTGGTGCTTCAATTTTTTTTAAATTTTTATTTATTTTTTATTTTTATTTTGTTTTTAAATTTTTATTAGTGAAACACCATGATGTACAGATGTAGATTTACAAATTTTTGTGCTTGGGTTTCAGTTATACAATTATCCAGTACCCATCCCTCCACCAGTGCCCATTCTCCAAATGCAAATAAAATAAAACAAAAAAGCCAGAAAAAAAATAAAGACCTCGAGGAAAGCCTTCGCAATGGTGGGCTTCGGACTTCCGCGGCTGGACATCCACTTGCCCCAGCCTCATCTTCTCATTCCCCTCTTCCTAGACCCAAGGGAACTTCCTCTCTGGCCTCAGGCTGGGTTTCTCTCCTGCACCTCTCAGCACAGAGGTGCTGGCTCTGGGGGCCTCACTCTCCCTCCCTGCCGGCCAGTGAGGCCCTGCTCTGATCAGCCCCCCACCTGCAGGCTTCCCCGTGGAATTGGAGAGGACCAGCCTGGGGCCGGGTCAGTGTAGGGCCCTCAGGGGTGCCCTCGGGTAGGCAGGGGCATCATGGGGAGGAGAGAAGTGAACCACCCATTCTACAGAGGTAGAAACTGAGGCTCAGAGAGAAGGCAAAGTTATGGGGTGTGTGTGTGTGGGGGGGTGCTCTTTGCCTGGGCCGGCCTGCCTCCCGCCCCACCTGCAGGAGGCCCCTTCCTCAGCCCACGCCGCTCACCAGAACTCGCCATCATCCTGCACCGTCACCCCCATCTTCTCTCGCTCACTCTTGCTCACTTTCTGCCACTCCTCTGAGCTGCGATGGGACACAGGGAGGGAAGAGAGAGACACGTAAGAGGTGGGGTCCCAGCAGGACCCGCTGCAGGGGTGAGATGAAGGGAGGGGGTGGCTGCGGATGCCTGCCGGGCCCTGCAGGGAAACGGGCTACCACTGTGCCCAGTGTAGAGGCCTGGAGTTAAGCTGAGGCTGGGCCCAGCTGGGCAGGAGCCCGAGGAAGGCGGGTCCTCACTGCGGCCGCCTCCCCCACAGAGCCCGGGGCCAGCTCAGAGAAATCACCAGTCCACCCCCTGCCCTCCCAGGCTGGTCTGCATCCCTTGCTGGGAATCTCCAGGTCTTTGCCCTTACTGTATCCACATGCCCCCACCCACCCTCATCTCACACCCACTCCAGAGTAAGTTTCCCTCCACGTCCTCCTCCCACCGTCCTTCAAAGGCCCCGTCCCTTGCCACCTCCTCCAGGAAGTCCACCTGGCTAACCATTGCCCACCTAAGATCCGCAGTGAGCGCCAGCCCCGCCCACCTCCCCACCACCACCACCACCACCCCGCCCCAATCCCAGAGCCTCACGTGTCGCTCCAGGGCCCGTTCCACTCCCGCTCGCCCCAGGGGTTGCGCAGGCGGATCATGTCCAGCTTCTCGGACTTGAAGAAGGCCAGCAGGCCATGGCCCAGGCGCACCTTGCGCACATCGGTGATGGCGTAGGCGTGGCCCTTCACCAGCCCGCAGTCCAGGCGGGCCTCCATGTCAGCTGCTGTCACTGCCTGCATGGGGGGGGCAGGGCGCTCAGAGCCAGGATGGCACTGCCCATGGGGGGAAGGGAAGCGCAGCCTTCCCTGGCTCAAAGCCCAGCGGGCAGTGCGAGAGTGGACGGGGGAGGGGGCGTGAAGGAGGGACCAGAATCCCAGAATCCACTCGCAGGCTCTGGACACTGCCCCACGCTCAGGCAGGTGCACTGTTAAACTCAGAGACCTGGAGCTGTATTGATAGCACAGCAGGTAGGGTGTTTGCCTTGCACGTGGCCGACCCGGGTTCGATTCCCAGCATCCCATATGGTCCCCTGGGTGACTGTCAGGAGTGATTCCTGAGTGCAGAGCCAGGAGTAACCCCTGAGCATCGCCAGGTGTGACCCAAAAAGCAAAAACAAAAGCAAAAAAAAACAAAAAACAAAAACAAAAAACAAGACCTGAAACCCAGCCTCTGGGAGTGTTTACAGCACAGAAACTAGTAAGTGCGACACTGAAGCTTGTGACTTTATTATAAACTCCAGAAGCCAGTTGAGTGACACGCCACTGGCTCGGCCAGATCTGTATCCAAATCCCAGTTGCCCCACCGACAGTACGAGCTGTCAGAGCAATAGCACAGCTGGAGGGTGTCTGCCTTGACCCCAGCACTCCACAGGGTCCCCTGAGCATGTCAGGAGTGATCCCTGGGTGCAGAGTGGAGTAAGCCCTCAGGGCCACTGAGCCTAGCCCCCAAACCAAAGCAGCAAACAAACAAAACACCGGGAGCTGTTGCCCAAATAGGGCGGCACTGGAAGCCCCCCAGGGTGCTGGCACAGAGTAGCCCCCCTCCCCTGTGTGCCTGCAAGCGCCCCAATGTGAGGGTCAGTAGAGGGTGTGTGTCAAGCAATGCCTCATGCACTGGCCCTGGGTGAGAGCTGTGCGCCCGGCCCTGGAGGCCCTCCCGAGGCTGAGGGTCTGAGTCTCTGGGTCAATCTCGGGCTCTGCCCAGCACCCACGCATGCCCCCCCTCGGGCCAGCCCCAGGAGACGGGCGGGGGCCTCACCTTGATGGAGGCGCTGATGAGGCCTCCGCGGCTGTGTACCTTCAGCACCCGCTCGAACAGCTGGTTCCTCTTGGCCTCATCTCGGCCGAAGTCCCCCTCGGTCAGGTCAATGGGCTCGGACACGCCGCCGGTGAAGTCCACCAGCGCGTCTGCCGTGTTGCCTCCATCCAGTGCCTGGTAACATCCTGCCATCCTGGGGAGCAACGTGCAGGAGTTTCCAGCTCAGCCCCGCAGCTCTCCAACTTCGCGGGGAGATTCTGAGACTCAGAGAGGTCAATCGATGGCCAAGGCCACACAGCAGGTGACAGCAGCGCCCAGAGCTCTGCCTCCCGCATCAACATTCGTCCCACTGAGCCTCACTGTCTCACTGCCCAAATCCCCCCGTAGTCTGGGGGCTGAGAAAACGCTTCGCCTGCGGGTGCCCCGGGTTTGAGTACTCAGCACTCTGCGTGTCCAGAGCAGCACCAGAAGCAGCGCCTGACACCAAGTTGGGAGTGGAACTGAGCACTGTCAGATACACCCCCAAGCAAACAAAGTCTCTTAGCTTACACAGTTCTGACATCAAGACAGCTGTCCAGAAATCGAGCACTGTCACTGTCCTCCTGTTGTTCATCGATTTGCTCGAGCGGGCCCAGTAACGTCTTCATTGTGACACTTGTTACTGTGTCTGGCATATCGAATACGTCATGGGGAGCTTGCCAGGCTTTGCCATGTGGGCGAGATGCTCTCGGTAGCTTGCCGGGCTCTCCGAGAGGGGCGGAGGAATTGAACTAGGGTTGGCCATGTTGGCCGCTTGCAAGGCAAACGCCCTACCCACTGTGCTATCGCTCCAGCCCAGAAATCGAGCAATCCTTTTCAAAAGCATTAAAACTCCCAGATTTGTCTGCATACGTGATTCTAAGTGGATACCACTGTTTGTAGCAATTTAGGAATGATCTAAGTGTCATGACAGGCAAATTCTGATTTTTTTTTTTTTGCCATACCACAGTAGAATTCAGGGATTAGTCCCGGCTGGTGTGGGTCACTCCTGGAGTGCTCAGGGGGCCATTTGGGGTTCCCAGGATCAAATCTGGGTTGGACACATGAAAGGCAACTGCCCTACCTGCCTTTGCTCCAGCCCAACTTATTTTTTTTTTATGAGGGTTGTGAGATAGTTCAGCGGGTAGGACACGTGTCTTGCACACAGCAGACCTGGGTTCAATCCCTAGCACCCCATATGGTCCGCAAACCCCACTAAGAGGCTGAGAACAGAGACAGGAATAAGCTCTGAGCATCACTAAATGTGGACCACAAACACCCTTGCACGCGGCTGACCTGGGCTTGAATCCTGGTACCCCATTTGGTCCCCCAAACATCACCAGGAGTTGTTCCTGAGGGCAAGAAGCCCTGAGCATTGCCGGGCATGGTCCCCAAACAAAACCAAACAAACCAAAACAAGAAAATAAGGAGGGAACCCAGTGCCAGGCCCGGCAGGGGCTGGCGGTCAGCTCTTGGGCACTCCCAGAAGTTCTTGGTCCGGTAACGCTGACGACAGGTCACCACCAGTGCTACTCTGTGGTGTCCTGTGGGAGCTGGAAGGAACGGGCCTTGTCTGTGACAGGCAGCTGCTCCCTGCTGCCATTCTCTCTTGGCAGGGACGCACTTGTGAAAACTAGAGCTGCATCCGGCCTGGAGCATCTCAGTGTATTCCTCCAAGCAGGAAACAGGGAAATGTAATGCTTGCTGGTCCCGTTTGAAAAAGAACCAGAGCTGGGTTCACAAAGGCCAGAGAGACAGTCTGGGGGCAGGGTGCTTGCCTGGCACGTGGCCATCCAGGTTCGATCCCCAGCACTGCAGGGTCCCCTGAGCACTGCCGGCTGTGGCCTCTCAAAACAGAATGAACAATTCATGCAGCAGATGGGAGGCGTCTACCTGGTGTCGCAAACAAGCACTCAGACTGCTGCTCCTGCTATAAACATATGGAGAAGGCTGGGGTCCGAGGCCTCACGAGGGGCAGAAGGACCCACGGCGCCATGGACGTGAACGGAAAAGGCTGTTCTGCAGAGTGGCTGCCAAGCAAAAGAAATGCAGCTAAGATGGGAAATGCTGTGGGCCGGAGCGACAATACTTGTCACTTGCCTTGCATGTGGCCAACCCGGGTTGAATCCCCAGAATCCCACCAAGCACCACTAGGAGTGATCCCTGAGCACAGAGCCAGGAGTAAGCCCTGGGTGTCGTTGAATGTGACCCCCCCCCCCCAAAAAAAAAGTGAAGCATTGCCACTGGTAAGGGTGGGGATGGTGGGGGAGATAGGAGAAGGCACGGAGCACAAAGCGGGTGGAGAGAGGAGGAATTAACTCACAAACCCCCAAACAGAAGGGACAGTGGCAGCCGGGAAGGAATGCAGGAAGGAGGGGCAAGGCCTGTCTGATCTTCCTCACGGTTTTCTGTACTTACTGAATTTCCAATCATAGACGTGCATTTGTTGTCTTGTTGAACAGGGGGATAAAGGGGCCTGCGTATGGCTTGAGGATTGGGGCACGTGTCTGTCATCTACAAGGTCCTGAGTTCAATGCCCAGCACCACATGCTCCTCCGAGCACCGCTAGGTGTGGTCCTGGAGACCGCTGAGCACTGGTGGGCCTGGGCATTGGACCACCCAGTCCTCCTGGTTGAGTATGCCTGGTAGTGGTCCCCGGACCCCTGAGTGCTGCTTAAATAAATAAATTTAAATAAATGAAATTAAAATTAAGTAAGTGAAAGAAAGGTAAAGGTAAAGGTAAAGGCCCTCCCGTTGATCGTCGATTTGCTCGAGCGGGCCCAGTAACGTCTCCATTACATTTAGGGGGCTTAGGGTTATAGGACAGAGGGGAGAGCATTTGCCTTGCATTCAGCTGACCTGGGTTAGAAACATCCTACCATGTGCGGTTCCCAAGTCCAGCCAGGAGTGATCCCTGAGCGCAGAGCCAGGAGGAAGCCCTGAGCACCACAAGATATGGCACCAACACGACAACAAAAAGAAAGACCATTTGGCCAAGCCATTCACCCTGAGGCACGCGTACATTCCAAAAGCCTGAGGATGGGCCACAGATACTTGAACAGTCATGTTCATGGTGACATTTTCACAAAGGTGGAGTGCACACCAGGAGATGAACGGATAAAATCTGGCATCTACTTATGGCACAGGTGTTCGTTCAGGGGCAGGACGGAAATGTTCCCCCAGCGACGACAGGATGAATCCCGAGAGCACTGCACTCAGAGAAACAAGCCAGAGCCAGGAAGGGCAAGTAGAGTCAGGTCCCCCTTAGCTGAGCAACCCAGAGGCAATGCGGAGAGGCAAGAGCAGAATAAAGGCTGCCAGACACAGGAGAAAGGAGAGACTGGATTTAAGAGTTGGAAAAAAGATGCCACTTCTCAAAAAACAAAACAAAAAAAAAACAACAGAAAACCTAGCAACCAGTAACAACAAGCTATAATCTCTCTGATAAGGAATTTAGAGAGGAATTGTTAAGGGTGTTGCTGGAGCGATAGCACAGCAGCAGGGCGTTTGCCTTGCACGCAGCCAACACGGCCGACCCCAGTTCGATTCCTCCGCCCCTCTCGGAGAGCCAGGCAAGCTACCGAGAGTATCTCGCCCGCACGGCAGGGCCTGGCAAGCTCCCCGTGATGCATTCGATATGCCAAACACAGTAACAACAGGTCTCACGATGGAGACGTTACTGGGCCCGCTCGAGCAAATCGATGAACAACGGGAGGACCGTGACCGTGACCGTGACCGTTTAAGGAACCCAAAGAAACAACGGAACAGACTGACAATAAAATACAAGAGGATATGAGAGCAGAAATGAGGAAACTACTAACAAAAATAATAGAACTCAAGAAAACTAGGAATTGGGGGTTGGAGATAGTACAGCAGGGAGGACATTTGCCTTGCGTGAGGCAGACCTGGGATGATCCCTGGCATATCATATGGTCTCCTGAGCGATGCCAGGAGTGATCCTGAGTGCAGAGCCAGGAGTAATCCCTGAGCACCACCAGGTATGGCCCTCCAAAAACAAACAAACAAACCAAAAAAAACCCCAACCTAGAAATTGAGTTCCCATATGATCCAGCAATTCCATTTCTTTGCATTTACCCCAGGGCCCGAAACTACTTCCAAAAAAATAAAACATCTGCACTTCTGTGTTCATTGTCGCACTGTTCACACTGGCCAAAACCTGGAGACAACCCAAGTGTCCAAGAATGGACGACTGGATAAAGAAACTAATGGTACATAACACAAAGGGATATCACGGGGCTATAAGAAAAGATAAAAGGTAAAGGTAAAGGTAAAGGCCCTCCCGTTGATCATCGATTTGCTCGAGCGGGCCCAGTAACGTCTCCATTGGAGACTTTGTTGTTACTGTGTCTGGCATATCGAATACTCTCGGTAGCTTGCCGGGCTCTCCGAGAGGGGCGGAGGAATCGAACTCGGGTGGGCCATGTTGGCCGCTTGTAAGGCGAACGCCCTACCCGCTGTGCTATCGCTCCAGCCCAAAAGATAAAGTGATGCAATTTGCTGCTGTGTGATGGATCTGGAGAGTTTCACACTGAGTGAAATTAGTTAGGAGAGGGACAGACACAATGATTTCTCTCATCTGCAGAATATAAAGAAACAAAGGAAAGGTGTGACACATGCCCACAGGCAACCAGAAACAGAACTGGTCTCTGTTAGGAAGTTTATGGGCTGGAGCGATAGCACAGCAGTTAGGGCGTTTGCCTTGCACGCGACTGACCCGGGTTGGACTCCTCTGTCCCTCTCGGAGAGCCCGGCAAGCTACTGAGAGTATCTCACCCGCACAGCAGAGCCTGGCAAGCTCCCCGTGACGTATTCGATGTGCCAAACACAGTAACAACAAGTCTCACAACGGAGATGTTACTGGTGCCCGCTCGAGCAAATCGATGAACAATGGGATGACAGTGCTATAGTGCTAGGAAGTTTACAGGTAGAAAAAAAATATATAAAGTTTACCAGTAGGGGACAGGGGGATAGAAAGTTAGGGGCGAAACTGGGGCAATGGTGGAGGGAAGCTGACCCTGGGGCAGGATGTGGTGTGCTGGAATGATTTATGTAAAAAATGCTACTATTAACAGTTTTATAAACCAAAGTGTCTAAAAAAAATAATTAAAAAAAAAAAGATTTTAGGGCCAGAGAGATAGTGCAGTGGGTAGGGCACTTGCCTTGTACATGGCCAACCTGGGGGTTCGATCCCTGCATTCCATATGGTTCCCTGAGCACCTCTAGGAGTGATTCCTGAGTGCAGGAAGTAACCCCTGAGCATCGCCAGAGGTGCCACAAAAAACAAAACGAAACAAAACAAAAAAATGTTTAGGGGCTGGAGCGACAGTATAGGAGTAGGGCATTTGCCTTGCACACGGCTGACCCAGGTTTGATTCCCAGCCCCCCATGTGGTCCCCCGAGCCCTCCGGGAGTGAGCCCTGAGTGCGGCGCCAGGGGTGAGCCCTGAGCACCGTCAAGTGTGGCCCTCCCCCCACCCCAAAATCATGTTAAAAGAGTTTTATTGAAGATTTTAAAAAAGACTTGGGTACTGACAAAGGGAATATGAATGCAAAATGTCACTGAATCAGACAGGCACTGACTATTAAATATAAAATGTTATCAACAGCAGTAAAGAAAAGAAACCCAAGCACTGTTGCTTTAAAAAAATCAAGCGAACATACTGGGGCTCTGAGGTGGAGACGGGCCTGCGCCACGGGTCGGCGACCTCCAGGGGGCGCACTCTGCTTTCCTGGGGAGAGGCTTGCCCAGGAGCCCCTCCCTGCCTCCCAGGCCCCAGAGCCTCAAGCAACTCCCTAGCTCTGAGTCCAGTCAGGGACCAGCCCCTGCAGCCCCCAAATAAAGAGAACAGCAGCCAAAGCCAGCAGGGGCTGGGCAGCCAAGGGGATGGCGTGCATGTGTTTGCACGCAGAAAGCCCTGTCTGGTCCCAGTTGAGGCCTCGGGGTGCCACCAGGGGTGGTCCCCAAAGAAATCTGCCTAGTTTCCCTGGGTTTGTACCTCATGTGGTTTTTCCCCCCCTTTTCCTTACAGACACACGCACACAAACACATGTGTGCACACACAGACACGCACACACGCATATGCACCCACACAGACGCATGCATACTCTCTCCAAGGTCCTGCCCAGGACGGAGACCCAAGGCAAGGTTCCGCCAGGGTAGGTGGGCTGGTTTCTGACTCATGGCCCTCTGGTCCCCCAAGACTGCCCCTCTCCTGCAGGGACCCCCCCTCAAGCCTCCAAGGCTCAGCAAAGCTCTGCTCGTGCTGGGCCCTGGCCCTCTGCACACAGGGAGAGCGGAGAGGCCGGCCAAGCTGGTGGAGGGCTGGATGCTGGCTGAGACCACACCCCAGTTCAATCCCGGGGAGCCAGGCAGCTGGACGCACCAGACGCTCAACACTAAACGTGGGGCTGGCACTGCTGGGCAGCTGGCCGGGCAGAGCTTGTGCTTGAAGGCAGAAGTGGGAGAAGCTCGTGCTCCCACTGTGGGTGTGTGGGATGTCACCGCGCTGGAGCGCCCTTCCCCATCCTGGGTGCCAGGCTGCAAGAACCGATCAGCCCCTCATCTTCCTGTGCCCGCAGCCGGGCCGGGGTGCCCGCCGTGCCCCACCAGCACTTACTTGGCATAGGCCTTCTCCACCAGGGCGCACCAGAACTCGTTGCGGGAGTTGGAGTGGCAGTAGATGAGTTGGTTGTTGACTGTGGGCAGCCGGTCATCGATGACCACGTCCACCCACTCCCCAAAGCGCCAGAAGTGGAAGTGGAAGATGCCTGCGTAGGCCTCGGGCTTCTCGGGGTCCCACTCCTGCTCTTTCCAGTCCGGGATGACCTGGAGAGGGAAGGGGACAGTTGGGGGTGTATCCAGCCTCAGTTCCGAGGGAGGGAGTCACAAAGGAAATACTGGGATCGACCCCCATCTTTGTTGTGATCCAGGGTGGCGCTAGGGTGGGTCCTGCGCACCTCTGGGCCTCAGTTTCCCCTCTCTGTAGGGGTCTAGGTTCCCATGGGCTCCTGCTGGGTCTGCCATTCTCAGAGTCTCCCTCCACATCTCCCCACTCAGAACCACGCATCCCCATCCTGCGCCTGTGGCCTGGCGGATGGTGCTCTGGTGGACAGTGCTGTGATGAAGAGGGCTGTGGCTAGTAATGCTGTGGTAAATGGCGCTGTGGTGGATAATACTGTGGTAGGTGGCACTGTGGTGTATGGTGCTGTAGACGATGGTACTGTGGTGGATAAGGCTGTGGTGGATGGTGCTGTGGTGGGTAAGGCTGAGGCGGATGATGCTGTGGCGGATGGTGCTGTGGAGGATGGTGTTGTGGTGGATAAGACTGTGGTAGATGGTGCTGTGGTGGTTAAGCCTGTGGTGGATGGTGCTGTGGTGGGTGGCATCTCTTTTCTCACTGCACCCAACCAGTCTCCTGGAGCTCCCACCTTAAGCTAACTCAGCTCCTCTCCATTGGGCACATCAGGCCCGAGACCTGCCTTATAGCCCTAAAGGCTGTAGCATCAGCGGCCACATGGACCCTCACCCCACAAAGATGCAGAGTGATACTGGAGGGGTATCTCTCTCTTTCTCTCTCTCTCCCCTCCCTCTCCTCTCTCCCTCTCCTCTCTCTCTCTCCCTCTTCCCTCTCCTCCCTCTTCTCTCTCCTCCCTCTTCTCTCTCTCCTCTCTTCTCTTCTCTTCTCTCTCTCCTCTCTTCTCTCCTCCCCCCCTCTCATGCTCAGGAGACCCTGTAGAGGCAGTAATCGGCCCAGGGCTCTTGGGAGGCCCCGTCTCCCAGCCCTGCACAGTGATATTTCCGAATACATGTCTTCCCTGGAAAATAATAAGGTCCATACTCTCTCTTTAGTTTGTTTTGTTTCGTTCTGTCTTGTTTTGGGGGCCACACCTGGTGGAACTCAGCGGCTACTCCCAGCTCGGTGCTTACCCTGGCTGTGCTCCAGGGTCACTCCTGACAGTGCTAGGCAGTGGCAGGCTGAGCCCTGCCTGTGGCTAGCCCCAGCCCTCCTGTTTGTTCAATTCTCCCTCCAGAGGGAAGGCTTAAGCTCATGACTCCCCCCTGGCCTTGGTGCTTCCCAAGCAGCCTCTCCCGATCACCAGAGGCTGAGCTCAGGACCCAGCATGTGCCCCGGGAGTGTTTGAAGCCAGGGAGCTGATCTTCCAGACCCAACCCGAAACTCAATGTGGAACCCCCTTCCCACCTCCCAGATGGTTTCTTCCCCGACACCCCTCCTAGACCCCAGCCACTGGCCCTGCTCTGGGCTCTCTCTGATCAGAAACTGCACCTGCCCACCCTCCAGCTGACTCTTATTACCATCTTAGGGTCCATCCTCCCCCTCCTCCAAGGAAGCCCTCCTTGACTCTTCCGATGAGCCTGGGTGCCTTGATCATCAGTCTCAAGTGTCTCAGTCTCTCCCTCCTGAGGCATTGACCCCACTTATAATTAAACAAGGGGGTGACACGGTGTTCAATTCTAATACAGTCACGGGAGCATCAACCCTCCAAGTCAGGGACAGCTCTATCTAGGTCAGCGCCTAGCTCATAAGTTGGCCCAGAAAGGCTGTTTATTAGACAGTTAAGACGGAATGAATGAACGGACACTGATGGGGATTTTGACAGTGTTGGTGTTGTTTGTTTTCATGGTGCCAGGGATGGAACCCAGGACCTTACACTGGGGAAGCTTCTTAGCTGAGACACACCCTTAGCCTACATGGGCCACTCATGGCATCTCGGCAGTGTTGGGTTCAAGTCTGTGTCATTCTCACAATCGCCTTAATCGAGGCCTTACAGAGGAGCACGTCCAGGGCGACACAGCTGAAAAGTTACACACCATCATGGCCGGGGCAGACCTGGATCTGAAGCCGGGACTCGAACCCAAGTCTGGCGGCAACAAAGGTGGATTCCTTAGCCACGTGCCTCCCTGCAGCCTTCCCGGGCGGCCCTGGGGCTCAGGCACGTGCTAGGGCTGAGGCGGGGCATGTGCATCAAGAGATGGGCATGGGGCCCACTTGGCTGGTCCCTCACCTCAGACCAGGACCCACGAGGCATGTGGACAGCAGAGGGCGGCGGGAAAGACCAAGTCGGAGGGACCATGGTGGGTGGGCACCTTAGGGGGACACGGCAGCTCCTTCAAGAAGAAAATCTTTCCAGAGGCTGGGGTGACAGCGTAGCTGGTAGGCACGTGCTGTGCACGTGGCCAATGTGGGTTTGATCCCGGGCACTGACTATAAAGGCCATAGCAGGTCTGCTTCCTAGAGCAGGATTTAATTTAATTTAACGGTGTGGGGGACCAAGCGATAGCACAGTGGGTAGGGCATTTGCCTGGCACACAGCTGACCGGGGTTCAGTTCTCAGCAACCCATGTGGTTCCCTGAGCCCACCGGGAGTGATTGCTGAGTGCAGAGACAGGAGTAAGCCCTGAGCACAGTGTGGTATGGGGGGGGGGGGGGGGAGGAGGGAGAAGAGAGAGAAGAGAGAGGAAAGAGAGTGTAGAGACAGAGGAGAGAGAGAGGGGGGAGAGAAAGAGGAGGGGGGGGGGAGAGAGAGAGAGAGAGAACACCCACCTCCAGGAATGGGACCAGACACCCACATTCAAGCTGAGGAATCCCAAGAGCCCCCAGCCTGAGCTCAGAGACTTCAGCCAAAAGCCACTCCCCAGCCCTCGCACTCCTAAGCCTGCTTCTGTTTATGCTCGAAGCGTTTGGAAGGTGGGAGAAGCACACGCACACGCACACACACACGCACACACAGACACGCACAGACACACACGCTCACAGACACGCACAGACACATGCTCACAGACACACACAGACACACGCTCACAGACAGACACACAGACACACGCTCACAGACATGCTCATAGACACAGACACACGCACTCAGACACTCACAGACACACACGCTCACAGACACACAGACACATGGACACAAAGACACACACGCTCATAGACATGCAGACACACATGCTCAGACACACACAGGCACATGCACTCACAAACACACATGCTCACAGATAGACACACGTGCTCACAGACACACATGTTCACGGACAAACATGCTCACAGACACACATGCTCAGACACACAGACACACACGCTCACAGACACACGCTCACAGACATGAACACACTCACAGACACACACACATGCTCATAGACACATTCACACACTCACATACTCTCACAGACATGCACAAACATACATGCTCAGACACACAAATTTCACACACCCATGCTCACAGACACACATGCTCACACGGCTCATATTCACACACTCAGAGACACACACGCTCGCACTTATACAGCTCATACTCACACGTGCTCACACACACTCACACATGCTCACACACACTCACACTCACCCACGTTCACAGACACACGTGTTCACAGACACTCACATGCTTATCCACTCACACACATGTTCACAGACACACACTGATACACACATGCTGACAGACACACACATAGGCTCACATACTGACACATTCTCAGAAACACACATACACTTATACACAAGCTCACACATACATGTTCACATATACTCACATGCTCACATCCATTCACACATGCTCACATGCACTCATACACTCACATAAGCTCATGCATACATGTCCACATATACTTACACACACACTCACATGCACACCCTTACATATACTCACACAAACATACAGTCACATACTCACACACACACACACAGGCATACATACTTACATACTCAGACACACATTCTCACATGCATTCACACATAACCACACAGTCACAGCAACACACACTCTTGTACACATGCCACCCCCCACATACATATCCACACATTCACACTCTCTCGCTCATACACACAGATGCACGCACACTCTCCCGCGCACACCACTGGCCTTCCCTGCCTTTCTGTCAGCATTCCCAGCAGCCTGTCATCGGGAGCCGCAGGCCCCACGCCGGCCTCCCTTCCTGACAACTCTCCCGCACGTCCTTGAGGTCAGTCTCCCTGGCCACCTCTCGCCTCTGCAGCCAGGTGGGGTCTGACCCCACTGCCCAGCCGGGAAGGCTGAGGGACAGGCAGGATCCGGGGAGGCGCGGGCCCCGGGGACTCTGAGGCCACCCTGTGACTTGCCCTGGCTCCTCCCACTCTGAAAACTCCGGCTGGGCGGGGGAAGGGCGGGGGGTGCTCCCGAGGCCACAGGAGGACCATTAGCCCGGCCGGGGTCTAGCTGTGATCTCTCTGTGGCTCTAGAGGCAGCTAATAAGGCTCCAGGGCCTAGAGATCCAGGCTCAGGCTCCCCCGGGCCCTCCACTTCCCCTCCTGCATCACAGCACGGGACGGGCCGTGTGCCCGGCGCGCGGCAAAGCCTGCCCCAACTGCAGAAACCGGGAGCGACAGCTCCCAGGGCCCCTCAGCACCCGCTGGCCAGGCGGGCCTCGTGAGGAGAGTGACCCAAGGCTGAGGACACATCCCAGCCGGGTAAGGCAGGTAACCCACGCGTCTAGAAACTGGAAAGGAGGGGGCCGGAGCCTTAACACAACGGGTAGGACACTTGCCTTGCACCCGGCCAATCTGGGTTCAATCCCCAGCATGCCAAACAGTCCCCTGAGCCCGCCAGGAGTGACTCCTGAGCACTGAGCCAGGAGTAATTCCTGAGCATCGCCGGGAATGCATGGACCCCAAACAACAACGACAGCCAAAAGAAATTGGAAAAGTGAGGGAAAGAATGCGTGTATCCGGCGGTATAAGCTGTCCTGGAGGGAAACAGTAGCAGACGCTGGGAGGTTTGCACCAGGAGAGCACCTAACCCACCGACACTACTGGCTCCCCGTCACCAAAGAGAGAAGCA